CCCTCATTGTGCATCTATCCCACATATATGGAGCCCTGGTGGCATAGTGGTTTGGACTGCGAACCTCTAGTCAGCAGTTTGAAACCACCAGCTGCTCCTCGGGAGAAAGACAGTCTTTCTCCTCCCATAAAGAGGTACAGTCTCAGAAACCCACCGGGGGAGTTCGTCCCTGTCCTGTAGAGTTGCAGTGAGTCGATGGCAGTGAGAGAGAGTGAAACACACACACACACTATAATGGAGTGAGACCTGGGTTGGCACAGTGGTAAAGCATTTGGTTGCTAACCAAAAGATAAGATAGGTGTTTCAAACTCACCAGCTGCTCCCTGGGAGGAAGAGATGTGACAGTCTGCTTCCATAATGATCCTAGCCTTAGAAACCCTAGGGGCAGTTCTCCTGGGTCTTACAGGCTTACTATGATCAGAATCTACTCAACAGCAATGGATTTGACTTGGTTTGTATACTAGGGGTCTTCAAAAAGTTTGTGGAGAAATGGAACTAAAAAATAACGGAGAAGTTCCATGAACTTTGTGAAGGCCCTGTGTAGATGCGTGGAGAGGGAGAAGGGATGTTACAAAATGCTAACAACAGGTGACTTTAAGGAAGAGCAATATGCCTGTCTTTGTACTGTGCGAAACAAAACTATGTAGAAAAATGTATGGGACTCAAGAAATAGAAGGTGTTTTCCCCATAGATAGATTATCTTGTGGTCACAGTCAGGGGCTGGTCTTTAAATCTTCATAAAGAGGCCCCTCTCCACCCTTCTACCCAGGCCTGAGCCCACTCACTTTTCTCTGAATTGGCTCCATCTCCTCCCCCAAAGAAACGTTGCTTTCCTTGTTAAATCTGAATAGTCCTGTTCTCCCTCTGGCTCCCTCCCTCCCTCTGCAAATGAGCTTGCACAAGCTTTCACGGACAGTAGTAACTCGAGCCAGGGAAGGCTGACTGGAGGGGGCTGTTCTTTATGCTCAGGGTCAGCAGTGCCAAGTCAGCAAAAGGCCCTTCTGTTGAAGATGAGGAGCTAGAGAAGAATACGTTCTCTTGCTGTTTCTACCTTGACTAGATCCCAGACTCCTCCTTTCTCTCCTTGAATGTTGGTCTGTCAACATCGTACTTCTGAAGAGTCCGGCACTGGCGGGACCTGACTGTTGCAGTCCAGGGCGGTTCTGCCCTTCCTACAAAATTTCCCTTTGTCATTCTCGTCACCGACAGAAGGACTCTACTCTGCCTTTTGCACTAACTGGCGGAACGTGCCCTCTCTCCCTTCCAGATGACCCAGCAGATGGCCGGCATGAACTTCTACGGCGCCAACGGCATGATGAACTATGGACAGTCAATGAATGGTGCAAACGGACAAGCAGCCAATCAGACGCTCAGCCCTCAGATGTGGAAATAAAAACAAAGCACCTGTACGGCCACCACTCTCTTCAGCCCTCTCTTTCCTGCTCTCTTCTTTCCCCAGCTCCTCCCACTCCATCCCATTTTCTGGCCTCCCTCCGTTTGGTTTAGAAATCACAGAATAAGTCATTGGGGGTTGGCACTCTGCTCATCCCTGTCACTCCCCAACCCCGCCGACCTCTCTGTTGCTTTCTGTTGCACATGCCCCCTCGCCATGCTGACTTATCTCCCGGGGCCGCCCCTAGCCGTCTCCTGGCACCAGCACCTTAGACATTGTTGGCAGAAGGCACTTCGCTGAGGGAGGAATGTACATGCTTCTGAGGACCCTTCTCTCAAGGATAACCTCGTGCCAGACTTGAGAAAGGCCTGGAGGGGGTGTGTTTTAGGCAAAGAAGGGGAGGACTTAGAAGTCCATTCATACATGTCACTAAACTGTTTCTAAGTTTAAAACTTAGGGGTGAAGAGGGAGGCATCATGCTCCTATGATTTATGGGAAAGAAGAAAGGACCGAAGGCAAACGAAATCCTTCTTGGGTCTTGGATCAAGTTGTCGATAGCTCATGGGTGAGGTAAGCTTCCTCCCAGGAAGGTAAAAAGAAAATCTCTCCGCCCTTAGTAGCTTTCTGCATCTGAGGTTTCAAGGCTTGCTTCTTCAGTCAGCCTCTATCAGCACCAAAGACTTCACGAAGGTCCCGCGCAAACACAGCCGCCCCAGTCTCTCCTCGCCTGCAGAGGGAGATGGTCCCATGGCTTGAGAACCAACCCCTTGAATGAGAATGCACAGCTTAAAGCCCGTACTTTGTGTGTGTGTGTACTTCGTGCGTGTGTGAGTGTGTGGATTCTGCCTCCCACCCACTCCCCATCTGCCCTGAGTGGTATTTGTTGGTCTAGTTTTAGGTTTATAACAAAGAGCAGTTAATTTATCAACAGCTTAGAGCTGTTGATAATTTTTCTTATAGTTAAAAAAATGCAATCTCAGTTATAATTCTCTTTTCCCTTCCCCTTCTCCTATCCTGCCAACCACCCTTTCCTGCCTGTGTCCTGGGGTGTTGGGTTTCATCCCCACCCTTTCCAGGTGTCTGAGGCAGAGAGCCTGGACAGCTGTCCCATCACTCATTGTTCACCCCACTTGAAAATTAAAGCTAGAAAACTTTGCTTCAAAGATTTCATCTGTGGGAATCACACTTCCTGGTTGCCTTCCTCCTGTGTATGTGTAAATTCCTTAATAAACATTGCAGGAAGGGCTGTTTGGTTGGCTCTTTCTTAACTGCGTCACCTTCGGAGGAAGGTAAGTCACACCCCGGTCTTCTGCATTTCAGTGGTGGTTCCTTCACTTCCTGTACTTACAAAACTCCTGTACTGAGCATGTGCAAGAGCTCAGCCCAAGTTTAGGGAATCAGAAAGGGGATCTGCCCCCACTGCTGTGTAACGTGAGCTGTATTTGGTCTGAGGATTGTAGTTGGCCACATCTGCTAATGTAAACCTATTAATAATGGCAACAGGATAGTTCTAATTTAATGTTGAATTAAAAGGAGTCCTGTGGTGAAGTGGATTGTGTTTCATTTTTTAATACATGGTTACTATGAGTCAGAATCAACTTGATAGCAGTGGGTTTGGTTTGGTTTTTATATAGTTGTGGCACAAATCTTAATCCTTAGCAATTCTTTTATTATTTTCTTACAACATAAAAAATTACATTTGTAATACTGTTGTGAGGACTAGGAATTATTTATGGATATATTTATGCACATATCAGTCCATAATGATTCCTTTTGGTTCATCCCTAAATACCATTTGGGATGTATGAGGGTGTACCCAAAGAAACCCAGAATTTTTTCAGAGCTATGTATTTAAATTTTTTACAAAACAACTTTATCACCTTAAAAGTACTCTCCATTACACTTAATACATTTGTCAAATCTGTGATTCCATTCTTGGAAACATTTTCAAACTTATCTGTTGTGAAGGCAGACCGCACCGCCCTTGTTCCCTTCTTCACCTCTTCTATGTTGTAAAATCGCTCTTTTCAAGTTCCTCTTCATTCATAGAAACAAAAAGAAGTCGCATGGAGTGAGCTTCAGGTGAGTAAGGTACATGGGGCAAGAGAGGCATGCAGTTTTTTGCCAAAACTGGCCCACTGAAATGGCTGCGTGAGCAGGTGCATTGTCTTGGTGGGAAAACCAGTCCCCTGTCTGCCACAAATTAGTCCTTTTTGGTTGCACACTGTTACCCGATCTTTTCAGAACCTCTAAACTGATTAACAGTTTGGCCTGGTGGAACCAACTCCAAATGCACTACAGAGTCAACATCTTTGTTCGTCCAGATGTCCAGAATGCAGTTTGTCATCAATCAACATTTCACCTTTTTTGAAACAAGAAAACCACTTGAGTTTTTCCCACAGTGCTGTCCTTGTAAGCTATGTTCAACCTCACAACAGTTTCTGCAGAATTTTCCCCAAGCAGGAGACAAAATTTCACAGCCACATGCTGTTCTCTTAATCAGCCATCACAAAAAAATGAGGTTCTAGCAAAACTACTTTCAGGAAAAAATTCACCGTGTCCAGAGAGAATCTTCCCAGGTGATGCCACTGGGTGCACTCAGAGCAAATTGCTTGATGCTCACCTAGCAGGAAAAACTGTGTCCTAAGTACTATGAGATCTCCACCCAGTAGAGCTTTTTTTTTCCTTTTTGGGTGGGAGGGGGATCCCCCTCATAGATGAAAAGATAAGCATTCTTTTAAGAACATAACAGTGCCATTATTACACTTAAAATATTAACTTAATTTGTTAATACCTGCTGAAGTCTTTTTGAGCATATAGATCAAATTTGAAAATGTTCCTTCTGTTAGTAGATGAAACTTTACTGGCCAGGAAAACACATCAAGGGGCCTATCAAAGAGTAAAGAGGCAGGTGGAATGTGATTGAGTACCATATTGAGGTAGAGAGCTATAGAAGAGAAAGTAGAAGAGTTGGTATGTAGTACTTCACAACACTTAGTGAAGGTCAACAAAGTTCAATTTCTTAGCGCCTTGTTCGACAGATAAAGTAAGCATTGTAATTGCAAACTCAAAAGTAAAACTAAATCCAGAATATATATCAGTATCTTTAGATTTTTCTATTACTACATTTATTTTTTTACTAGACTGTCTAAATGTTAAGTTCATGTATGACTTTAATATAATAGATAAAAGGGAAGATTGGGGATATACATAATTTCTTGTATTTGCTGTTAATTTTCCCAAGAATTTTAATTTCCTTTATTGTCTCATTCAATGGAAGACATAACTATCAGTTTTCTCTCCACCTTCCCAGCGTGAGTGACATCTAGTCTGTTGCTTGAAATACCATGTCTTTGCTAAAATTTGCCAAAGTTCTGTGTCTGGTACAGACCTATTTCCTGACTCCAGCCTCGCTCTTGCTTCAGGTCCTTGGTACTAGCTATTCATCTAGAGGCCCTACTCTCTTACCTTCTCACCTTTGCTCAAATGTTGCCTCCCTCAGTGAAGCCTACCCTGACCATGTTATTTAATATTGCAATATGTTCTTTGACCTGAAACTCTAGCACTCCCAAATTTCCTTAATGTGCCCACTTCCCCCCCCAAAAAAATACCACCTAACAGTTTACATATTTACGATGTTTATTGTTTACTAGTCTTCCAACCTAACAGAATGAAAACTTCAGAGGGCACAGATTGTTATTTTGTTTAGTGATATACTACAAATGCCTAGAACAGTGCCTGGCACACATTAAGGGCTCAATAAAAATTTGTTGTATTGGTTTGAACTGGACCATATATCCACGAGAGAGGAGACCAGGTGGCATAACGGTTATGCATGGGAAACCACCAGCCATACCTCAGGAGAAAGATGAAGCTCTCTCCTCCTGTAAAGAGTTACCGTTTTCAAAACCCACAGGGTCATTTTCACTCTGTCCTATAAGGTTAGTATGAGTTGGAATTGACTCATTGACAGTGAATTTTTTGTTTAGGCCAAGAAGTATTGACAATAATACAGAAATGGATTTCCCATGATTTGATAGCTAGATTTTATAAGTGAGAAAATCTGAATTTTTTTAGATTGTCCTTGCATACGGGACTGAGATTTTTTTTTTTCTAACACCATTATTTGCCTTTTTATTTTTGTGGATTCTGCCCCCTCCTATTTTCTTCCTTTTTTTTTTTTTTTTTAACATTTTATTAGGGGCTCATACAACTGTTATCCCAACCCATACACACATCATTTGTGTAAAGCGCATTTGTACATCGTTTCTCAAAACATTTTCTCTCCACCCAAACCCCCGACATTAGGTCCTCATTTTCCCCCTCCCTCCCTGCTCCCCCCTCCCTCATCAGCCCTTGATAGTTTATAAATGGGTATTTTGTCATATCTTGCCCTGTCCGACGTCTCCCTTCATCCACTTTTCGGTTGTCTGTCCCCCAGGGAGGAGGTCACACACAGTTCCATGTAATCGGTTCCCTCTTTCTTACCCATTCTCCCTTTGCCCTCCCTGTTTGACACTCACATCACTGGTCCTATAGGGCTCATCCATCCTGGATTCCCTGTATTTTCAGTTCCTATCTGTACCAGTGTACCTCCTCTGGTCTAGCCAGTCTTGCAAGATAGAATTCGAGTCATAGTAGTGGGAGCGGGGAGGAAACATTTAGGAACTAGAGGAAAGTTTTATTTCTCATCATTGTTACATCGCACCCTGACTGGCTCTTCTCCTCTCTGAGACCCCTCTGCAAGGGGATCTCCAGTGGCCTACTAATGGGCTTTGGATCTCCACTCCGCACTCCCCCCATCATTCACACGGACTGAGATTTACAGACCTCTAAGAACTGAAAAATCACAGCTGATACAATTTTAAGATGGACGGGTATTTTAATTTCAGAAAAAGGAAATTAAAATACCCGTCCATCTTAAAATTGTATCAGCTGTGATTTTTTTCTTTGTTTTGTAAACATGAGTATTTTTGAAAGGGAAGATGAAAATATGAACACATGAGTAATGGGTCCAGCAGTAACGCTATGGTTTTCAGCCATCGGCCAGTGTCTGGAACACCTTCTCCATCCCCACAGAGCGTATGTAATGTAACACCTTGTCTTCTCAAGACCTCTCATGGAGACCTCCCCCCACACCTCTTCACTGTTCTGCTGGTGCCAAATTGCTGGGGGTGGCTGGAGCTCCTTTTAGACATAATTTATTTCTGTCCCAAAGTTTATTAACATGAGATTCCTAGGTTCTTTCTCTCTCTCTTCTTTCTTCACCTTCTCTTGTGGCCACAGCCCATCCCTCTGTGTCGTCTTCTCTCTAGCTCTCCCTTTTTTTTAACTTTCGGCTATTCTCTCATCATTCTGCTTTCCAATCTTTCCTGCCCCTGCCCCTTTTACTCTCATTCAATTCTAAACACCTGGGCAGGTAGTACTCTAATGAAAACCTGTTAATTAAAACCCACACCTGGGTCTGCTTGTCTTTTATTCCCATTCTAACAACGAGTAGACACAAAATATGAGTGGTTTTTTGGTAGTGAGAAATCGAGTGGTGAGTACTTTATAAGAGCAAGCAGAATACCATAGTTCACAAAGACAAAGAGTTCTACATCCTAATCTGGTGAGTGGTGACTGGGTTCTTAAATGCCTGTGAGCAGTGGAAGTAAAGTTGAAAAGAGTTTGTGAATAGATCACTCCAACTTTCTCAATGGTACAATGGAGAAGAGTCTGGTAACAAGTTCAGTGTTACATCCAACACTTTCAAGTATTGTATTTTAAGATCTTTCCTTTTGTCTAACATTCTTTCTGGCTTTTAGTTAATCTAAGTTTTGCATTGGTTTGTAGGTTTTCCACTTTAGTGTGTATGTGTGTGTGTGTGTGTATATATATATATAAAACTATGACTTGGCAGAAGTAAGGTCAGAGTGCTCCTTAGAGGCAAGGATGGCAACAGTTCACCTTACATACTTCAGACATAATGTCAGGAGATATCAGTCCCTGAAGAAGGACATCATGCTTGATAAAATGGAGGGGCAGAAAAAAAAAAAGGCAGCAAAGAAGACCATCAAGGAGCCGAATTGACACCCTGGCTGTAACAACGGGCTCAGCATAGGGACAATTGCAAGCATAGTACAGGACCATGCAGTGTTTCATTCTGTTGTGCTTAAAGTCACAATGGGTTGGAACCAACTTGGTGGCATTTAACAACAACATTGATTAACCATGATCCTATAAGGTTTTGTCATCTACAGGTAA